TAGTTCCCTAGATGCCTCTGGTTCATAGCCATTAGTACTCTTCACCTGGGCATCCAGTTCTTCGAAGGACTTCGAGATATTTTGAGTATCAAATTTCAGTTCTTCTTTTCTATTCTGGGGGTGGGGGAAGTGGTGGTGAGGCCGGAAGAAGGGAGTCCTCAGAGTTTTAAGCTCCCCACCCTTGCTCTACCTGGCCCAAAACACCCTCTTCTCCTAACCCCCCCCACAAAAAATCTTCATGTCCTCCCCCCCAGGCCCCTTGGGGCCTGACTCAGCTACTTGTCCCCCTAGCCCTCAGCCCTCTAGGAGTTCCCAAACTTTTAGTCTCCCTCCTGACCCCCAACCTCCCCATTTTAGGCCTGAACCTCCCATAGAATTCCAGTCCCAAGTTCCAATGGTAGGATTCTATCACTCCTTTCCCCTAGCTCCACCATCGCAAAACAAAACAAAAAAACCAACCAAACAAAAAAAAATTCATCTTTTTCTATCTCCTTACATCCTTTCTATGCTATTTCCCCATCTTCTTCCAGTTCTGAAATCCCTCCATTTCTAACACCCTAACTTCCTATTTCCTCAGGTTTCCAGATTCCCAGGACCCCCAACTCTTTGTTGTCATTGAGTTATTTTCAGTCATGTCTCACTCTTCTTGCTCCTATTTTTGGTATTTTGTTTTGGTTTTTTTTGGCAGAGATATTGGAGTGGTTTGCCATTTCTTTCTCCAGCTTATTTTGCAGATGAAGTAACTGAGGCAAACAGGGTAAAGTGACTTGCTTATGTAATTGGCATTCATGCTTTAGGGAGGAGGTTGGAATAGATAACTTCTGAGGTTCTTTCCTCCTTCCCTTTTCACACAGCTAGTAAGTGTTTAGAGGTTGGATTTGAACTCAGGTCTTTCTGATTCCAGACCCAAAGCTCTATTCGCTGCAGCACCTAGCTGTCTGACTCTATAACCCTTCAATTCCTTAGCCCCCTCTTAAATTCTCCAGATCCCCCATCTCCTAACTTTACAACCCCTCAGACCTATAAATGTCCTATCTCTCAACCTCCCTAACCCTCCTATATCCCACCCTTCCCCTACTCCCAGCTCTGTCCCTACGGTCCCCTGACCAGCAGGTCCTTGAACACAGCCCGCAGAGGAGAAGTGGAGACTCTCCAGGCCATGCGGGTATGGTTGATCTGCAGCTCCACGGTACAGCCCAGAGACGACACCACTGTATTCAAGTTGTGCCGCAGATTGGCCACAGGCCCTGGAAGGGAAAAGAGGCAAAGGGAGAGAGGCTAGAATTCTTATTTCAGGTAGCTAAGTCCTTGGCCCCTGGATGCCCACCTCAGCACCCTGGGATACAATATGCTTCAGATCCTGCCAGACACGTGACCCTGGGTGAATCACTTATGCTCGCCTTTTCCTCACTTGTAAAATGAAGGGTCTGGACTCGAAGATCTGTAACATGCCTTGCAGAACTAATATCTAAGATTCTGTGATCCTGATGTCTTCACACATGTCTGGGAGTGGGGTACAGTAGAGAGAGCCCATGACTTGGAATCTGGATGTTCAAATCCTGCTCAGAAACATGCTAACTGAGTCACCCTAGGTAAATCACTTAACCTTGTTTGCCTCAGTTTCCTCATCTGTCAAATGAGTTGGAGAAGGAAATGGCAGAAACACACTAGCTGAGTCACCCTGGGTAAGTCACTTAACCTTGTTTGCCTCAGTTTCTTCATCTGTAAGATGGGGTTAATAATAACACCCACCAATTGGTTGTTGTGAGGATTAAATATGATAATATTTGTAAAGTGCTTTGCAAACATTACTTTTGTTTTATTTTTTTCTTTGCAAACTTTAGAAAGCTAGATGGATGCCAGCTCTGATTATTAACTATTATTCCATCTTTCTTGGTGGTCCCTGCTGGTGACTGCCCTCTACCTGACAGCATGTCCCATCCCAATGCCTGGCAGGCACTCACCCTCATAGATGGCAGCCAGTATGTAGCCAAGCACCAACAGTCTTCCCTCTTTGCCCAGCATTTTGGGGATCAGCAGAAGGCTGGCACAGCGAATATAGGGGGATGTGCCCCAGCCCAGGGCCCCTACGCCTGTCCAAAAAGTAAACAAGAGAAGGGGGCAGGGAAGGTGAGAAATGTCTACTGTACTAGACAGGGCCTGTTGTACCTGCCATGACACCTCCTGGACTTTGTCATTCTGTACCTGGTCTCATCAGTAACACTTCCATGGCTACTTCAATCCACTAAGAGTTCCCCTTTATCTGACCTACCACTGAAGTTATGTCAGTCCTCAGTCCTCTCTTGTTGTGTCCCAGGGGACGTCTGGCTGGTCCTGGAAGATATGGAGGTGTTTTCTATACCTCCTATAATGTTGAGCACAGTTCTAGGTACAAAGGTGTTGCTCAGTGAATAATCAATGGATCCACAAACTCATGGATGTGGACACTCCCTCTGATAGTACAGATCAGATCCATCCCGTGCAGGCCTCTTGTCCATATCCTCTGGTAATTTCTCCACGTGGAATCCACCCTAAATGTATCTTCTTCTAGTCACACATTTCTCTGATCCATGAGATTCTTCTCCATTAGGAGCTCCAATTCAGATTCTCTTTCCCAGGTGGGAGAATCTAGACCTCATCCATTCATTTCTGTATTCTGTCTTCCCAGGGAACACCTACTCCTCTTCTCTTCCCTGCTGGTCCATTGTTGACAAAACTGCTCTCCATTCCCACTCCCTAAGAACCTTTCCCTCAGCATTGCTGCCTCTCACCCCCTACCCCCACCCTGGAGGTGCCTCAGTGTATACAGGGCTGGTTTTCAGACAGGGACACCTGAGTTTTCAAGCCTCAGAAACTTACCGGCTGTGTGACCCTGGGCAAGTCACTTAACTCTGTTTGCCTCAGTTTCCTCATCTGTAAAAGGAGCTAAAGGAGGAAATTGCAAAACACTCCGGTATCTTTGCCAAGAAAGCCCCAAATGGTGTCATAAAGAGTCAGACATAACTGAAAATGACTGAACAACAACAACCTAGCAAGATTGTTTTGAGAATCAAATAAATTAACATATGTAAAGTGCTTTGCAAATGTTGTTACTATTACTCCTCCCCCTTCTCCTCCTCCTCCTCCTACTAACTGCAACTCACTCATCTGCCCTCCTATGATTCTGTCATCCATACTACTACTACCACTACTACTACTACTACTACTACTACTACTACTACTACTACTACTACCACTACTACTACTACTACTACTACTACCACTACTACTACTACTAACTAACCAGCTCAATTACCTGCCCTCCCACGGTTCTGCCCTTCTCCCAGTGTCCCACTGTGTGTTCTGGGCAGATATGTTCTGTCACTTCTATCAGATTGGGAGCCTTCTGCCTCTGGACCTCTGGATCCCTTCTCCACACACTAGACAGGGCTTTGACTCAGGAAAGGTACTCATGGCTGAGCATAAATTTACCGCCTTGGGTGCTGCTGTCATAACATGACATCTTTTTGCACTCACCCACCATGCTGTACATCAACATTATCTTCTGCTCTTCATAGAGGTTTATGGGGGTCAGCAAAATGTGGGCGAGACCTGGAGACCAGAGGGTCAACATTAAAAGGAAACAAGTCCTCCTCTGCTGTCTGCTTGGTCCCCACTCCTCTCCTTATAAATAATCCCTACTGGGATGAGCAGGAGGCTCCAGGGATGTTTTAAGAAGGAAATTGCAAAGTTGGAGAGTGTCTACAGAAGGACAGCCAAAATGAAGGGCCTTTAGTTCATAGGATAGGCTGAAGAAACTGGGATGTTTCACCTGGAGAAGAGAAGGCACAGAGATTCTAGCTGTCTCTAAATATCTGAAGGGCTGTTATGTGAAGGGCAGAGGGTAAAAATAGGAATAAAGGGTAGCAGTTGCAAAATGATCATTTTAAGCTTGATGTCAGGGAAGAGCTTCTAACAATCAGAGTAAAAAGTAGAACGGACTGAGGAGCTAAGTTCCCCCTCATTAGAGGCCCTTGAGGTGGATGCCCTCTCATTAGGTATATTATAGTGGGAGGTCTTCTGTGTTACGTACTGACTAGAGGGGAACTTAGGTCACTTCCAGCTCCCAAATTCTTGGATTCTGTGGTTCTGTGACCTACTCACCCACCGCCAGGAGCCCTCCAGTGCCGGCTCCCAGTAGGAACGCAGTGACAGGAAATTCTCCTGGCTTTCTCCACACAAACCGGGCACAGGGAGCAGGCAGCCCCCAGCTCAGGAACTGATTCACAGCTATAAAGGAATGCGCTGCCTAAATGCCATCCCATTTTTCTCATGGGGTTGTCGGCATACAGTCCAATCAGTAACTTTGGTTGGGTTTGTCCAATTGGGCATAGCACAGCTAGAGGATGTAGGGAAAAATATAAGCACTCCAGAAATAGGGGCTGAGAGAACACTAAGTGAAGAGTGGCGGGGGCTGAGGGGACATTAGTGGAGATGATGAGTAAAGGAGGAAGGGGAGGGTGTCACTGAGAATGTGACTTACTGGTATGGGCTGGTGTCTTCCTCTGACCTTCCAAGCCAGCTGCCTTGGCTTGACTCAGTTTACCTCCCATGACGATGCTTATACTAGATGCTTTGATAATCCCTTCTCACCCCCAACTGCCTCTTCTGTGACCTCATTTTGAGTTCTGTTGGGGAAGGCGGAAGATCATTCTACCTCTTCAATCTCCCTTCCTTTTATAGTAAGGGGGAGTATCTATCCCCTTTTTCTCCTTGATTCCCAGTAGGGTCTAGGGAATGCTCCAAGGATAGGAAAGATTTAGGGTATGTGACTCTCCATCCCTAGCCCTGACCTTGGAAACTAGGTGAACTGGGAAAGGGAATTCTTCTTTAAGAGACATTCTGGAACTTTAGAATATTGGTACAGGGGTGTGGTAGATCCAAGCTTGTGGCTCCTTTAAGAAAGAGGTGCCTCTGAGCAGAGCCCAGTGGGCATCTCAACGAACAGATGAGTACAGAAGCTGTACCCCAAATCCATGACTGGCAAAGAGGTCCCTTTGTGGGCAAGGGAGCAGAGCAAGGGACAAGAAGTGGCTCAGAGTGTGGGTGGCTTTATCCTGGGCCTCGCCGTGGCTACAACCTATGGGCTTCTGGGCCTGTTGGTGCAGGGGCACAGTCCTTGGACCTGCCTGGTGGGCACTCTCTCTCTAGCTATCTTCTTGGGCCTAGGTATGGGCTTTTCTCGTTCTGTTCGCATGACTGTCCTGCTGCTGCTGCCTCAGGCCTTTTCTCGTGAGTCCAGTGACATGGGGGGGGGGAGACAGAGAGAGAGAGGCTGGGTTGTTACTACAGAGAAAAGAGGGCTGGGAGAACACCTGGGCTGATGAGGTATCAAGACCAAGGGAACCCTAGGAGGTAGGGGAGAAAGAATCACTGCAAAGAGGGCCAGGACCTGGGAGGACACTGGCATCAAGGGGGCAGCTGTAGGAACAGTGGGGGAAGAGGTGAAGAGTAATTGGGATTAAGTGCTGGGGATACAAATCGAAAGTAGAGATGATAGTTCCTGATCTAAGAAGCTTAGGTATTAATTAGGGAAACAATACACATAGGGGAGTGATGGCTAGAGAAGGGAAAGTCTCAAAGAGGTCAAATCAAGAAATAGGGCAGCCCATATCCTGGGGTGAAGATGAGGAAGGTTGGATTTGGGGGTGAAGATGAGGAAGGCTGGGTCCTTGGATAAAGATGAGGAAGGTTGAATTTGGGGGTGAAGATGAGGAAGGCTAAGTCCTGGGATGAAGATGAGGAAGGTTGGATTTGGGGGGGGAAGATGAGGAAGGCCAGGTCTTGGGATGAAGATGAGGAAGGTTGGATTTGGGGGTGAAGATGAGAAAAGCTGGCTCTAGGATATGCAGAGCAGAGTGCTTCAACTCTTCCCAGGAGTGGCCTCTGATGGTCTGGGGGGGCAACAGCATCAGCAGCTAGAGAGGGTGGAAAAGTAGCCAAATCCCCATCTAATCCACCTTAGAGTGGGTTCTTGAAGGAACAAAAAAGTTGGGGTTGGAGTCTGAGAAGGGTTTGGGGTGATACCCTAGTGAGGATTCTGAGAGCTCATTATCTCCACCAGGACAGGGCCGGACACTGCTGCTGATTGCAGCCTTTGGGCTGGTTATGCAGGGCCCCTGTGCCAACATTATCAGAAACTTCAGTAGGGCGAGTGATTCTGTGGCTTGTGGGGCAGAGCTGGCCCTTAACCAGAGTGCGGAGGTGCTTCAGCGGGCCCGGCAGCCCCTAATCAGTAAGAGTTCCCTCCCTTCTGCCCCGACTCTTCACCTCCTTCTCCAGAGTTATTGCCTTTTTCCTGCTCTCACCTCCCCCCCCTACTTCAATACCCCCGTGTCTTGGGTATCTGGCATCATGGTTTCTACTTTACAATGAGGGGACTTGGAAAGGAGGGTGGTCTAGTGATCTCATGAAGAGGATTTGGAACCACATGATATGGAATCGAATGCTCATTCTGCAGCCTATGTGACCTTGGACAAATTACTTCTGCTCTCTGGGCTTCAATTTCCCCATCTGTAAAATGAGGGATTCAAATAGGCCTCTTCCAGCTCTATGATCCTATGAAATCTTGGCATCCTCTTCCATCCTCCGAGATGTAACCACTCCCATTCCTGAGATGCTTTCAGGCTAACAAAGCACTTTCTTCACAACTGCCCTGCAAGGGAGGTAGTGCAAATATCAGTTATAACTAGCTTGGGAAGATGGGCTCCCTCCCTACAGCATCTGAACTCACTTCCCTTACAGAATTCTGTCTGTTGGCTAATCCTGTGGCCAGAAGCACCTTGAGTCACGTTCCTTCTGCTCCATTGCCCCAGGGCCTTCCTTCCTCCTTAACCCACCAGGGCAAGGGCCAACTGAGCTTCATAGGCTGCCCCCTCTCCCAAAATGACCTCACTTAGGTTGGAATACCCTCTGTACCACTACTGCCACTGGAAAAAAATGTCTAGTTTGGGCTCTGGTAAAGATTCATTTAATACTCATTTTGAAAGTGGTTTAGGGAGGTTAAGTGATTGGGCTCTGTTAGCACACTTAGTAAGTGGCAAAGGCTGCCTTCTGACTATGAATCTAGTGTCCCTTCCCAAACACCAAGCGGTAGTCCATGTTCTCAGGCTCTGGGTCAACCTCCCCTATACCTCAGGGGTCAGGGCTCAGACCTATGGGAAGGATTTCCCCACCCCACCTCCTTTTATCCCCTGCTATTTCTTCCTAGGTGCCCTGAAAAAGATCAAGGCCATTGCAGGGAAGGCCAAGGAGGTCGCTGACCGGATCCGGAAATTCTTCCGTTCTATCATGGATGGCGTGAAGCACGTAGGTCAGTTCATTTGCCTACAGTATACTCTTTTCATAGCCAAAAAGCACAATGAAACTCCCTCATCCTCTCACCTCTTAACTCTTCACCCTGATGTGTTCATCTTTGGTCTGGGCCACTCTCCCTCTTATATTCCATTTGACTGATCCAATCTAAAAAAATAACCAACAACAGGGGCAGCTAGGTGGCACGGTGGATAGAGCACCAGCCCTGGAGTCGGGAGGACCTGAGTTCAAATCCGGCCTCAGACACATAACACTCACTAGCTGTGTGACTCTGGGCAAATCACTTAACCCCAGTTGCCTCACCCAAAACAAAACAAAACACCAAAAATCAACAACAACAACAACAAAAAACAAAACAAAACCAAAAAACCAATGATCCTGTCCTCCAGACCTAGCACTTGTATGAAAGATGAGATCTGGATTCTTCCTTAGCACCAAATGGGTTGCCCTACTTTGAAAAGGAGGACTATCAAGCATGTCTGGCCTCCAGTTCTAGTACATTCCTGGGAAACCAGAACTATTAGGAGGAAGCACAGAGGGCCATGGCTATGCCTACTTCCTCCAGGGAGAAGGAGAGGGGAAGGAAGAGGAGAGAAGGGGAAAAGCATTGGCATTGTGCTAAGCACTTTGCAGGTAGTATCTCACTTGATCCTCACAACAACCCTGGGAGATAGGTGCTATTATTATCCCCATTATACAGTTGAAAAAAACTGAAGTAGGGGCAGCTAGGTGGTGCAGTGGATAGAGCTCCGGCTTTGGAGTCAGGAGGACCTGAGTTCAAATCCAGCCACAGACACTTGACACTTACTAGGTGTGTGACCCTGGGCAAGTCATTTCACTCTGATTGCCTCACCAAAAAACAAACAAACAAACAAAAACAAAAACACCTGAAGCAGGCAGAGGTTAAGTGACTTGTCCAGGGTCACATAGCTAGTAAGTGTCTGAGGCCGGATTTGAACTCACATCTTCCTGACCCAAATCCTGTAATCTTTTGCCACCTAGTTGCCCACTTCCCCCTCTACCTTCCCTTGTTTTCTGGATCCACCTTGTTACATAAGGAAGAGGATTAGTTATAGGTGGGTTTTATGTAAGAGAGAGAAAATGTATGAGAGGATAATGGCAATCCATCCATCCATTCATCTATCCATCCATCTATTCATGTGTCCAGCAAGTTATTTATTGGATGCTCATTCTACCCACCCTCCCCTCCCTAGTCAGGGCCCTGCGAAATGTGTGGTACTGGCTTTTGCACATTGGCGATGTGTGCAATTCTGAGCTAGGCTCACCCTACTCAAAGTGTGCGAAGATCTTTGACGATGCAAAGGATCGCTGCATGAAGGCAGTGCCCCTGTTCTACCACCTCTGCTATATCCTCATGCCTTTCAAGCTGCTACTCTGTGGTCTGGCCACTGGTAAGGATGGGCCCACTGTAGAGGTGGTTGGGGAAATCATTGCGTGTAGTGAGATTGGGGGGTGGGAGTGGATGGTCAGGGTGGGGAAGAGACAATGAGGAAAGAATGAAGGATGGGGCTAGCAGGGACTTGGGTTTGATGGGGAGGGCATAAAACCAAAGAAGGGAGACCAATGGAGGTGAAGAGTGAGAAGTAACAGGGTCATTGGAGGACATGGCTGATACTGGGAGATAAGTGACCCCATGGATCTGTTCCTCCTTCTGATTTTTCTGTCCTCTCACCCCTCTGCCATTCCCAGTGGCCCAGCTGTTCTGTGTCATCCCCCGCTATCTACAGCCATTCTTGCGGGCCACCATTGGCACCCGTGAGTCACCCTGCCCTATTTTGTATCCCAGAGGTGCCCCCCAATTCCCAATAAGCTGATCTCTTCAGGCTGGGCAATCATTATTCTCAGGGCTGCTTCTTGATTCCTGAGGTCCCTCTTCCTTTTCATTTGTATTCCATAGAATGCTACCCCATGGGTCCAGATCCACATGTGATATATTCTAACACAAAATACTTTCATGTGCTTGATCTCCTTTTGAGGTCAAGAACTCCTTAAAGGCAAAAGGCTTTGTTTTATTTATCTTTGTAGCCTGGCATGTCCGCCCCTACCCCCTGCACCATCACAGTGCCTGGTCCCTAGCAGGTGCTTGATGTTTGAATGAATGAATGAATACCTCCTCCCACCCAGATGGGTTTTTTGGTTCATGAATGTGACTGACATCTTTCATACTGGATCCCTCCTTCTTGATGGGATTGTGCCCTTGCCCTGACTGCTCACTTCTTATTCCTATTACCTCCTCCAGCGGTGATTCAATTGATTAACCGTGTGCGTAGGGAGTTTGAGTTCAACGTCACAACCTCCCATCACTTCAAAGTGAATCTCAACTCTTCCCGAAGCCTGTCTCAGGTGGCCTTTGACCTTCGAGAGGCTGTCAACCTGAGGCTACATCCCATCAGGGAGACCCTGGCCCTGCTTGGCCACACCACTCCGCTACTGTTAATTTTCCTCTACCTCCAGTAAGGGGAGGGGGGGAACGTGGAAGGCAGGGGATCTGGGAGTAGGGAGTGGGGGGTTTCAAAGTCTCAGAGGCCTTGTAGTGAGAGGGGCACCTGACATTTCTTAGAAGGAATTTCCAGGTTGATACTGACCAATCCAAACCTAGGACCAGGAGTAGGAAGGTATAAACCTGCCTGGGGTACAGCTTGGTTCTTTGTTTTTTCCTTTATTTTTTAGTTTCATTAATGCTTTGTTTAGACATTTTCCAATATCTCCTCCTAGTGAAACCTCTCCTGTAACAAAGAAAAACTGTTTATGGAAACCAATCAATATAAGAAACATTACTGTAACTGTAATAATAATAATAATAATAATAATAATAATTAGCAACTATATAGCAACTACTATAAGCCAGACACTACTAAATACCTCATAAATATTATCTCATTTGATTCTCACAATAATGTGGGAAGTAGGTATTATTATTATCCCAATTTTACAGTTAAGAAAAATGAGGCAAACTGAGGTTAAGTGACTTGCCCAAGGTCACATAGCTAAGATATGTCTAAGGCTGTATATGAACTCAGATCTTCCTGACTCTAAGCACAGCACTCTACGCTTAGCACCAAGTAGCTGCCTCCTGCAGTATCTCTGACAATGTATGTCATATTCTGTGCTTGCAGTACTCTACCTCTTTATGGAGAAGAGGGAAGTATGTTCCATCATCTGTTCTCTTGGATTAAGACTGATTATTTATATCATGGTTTATCTTCCTTTTAATAAGTATATATGTTTGTTTGTTTGAAACTTTTTAACATATTTTTTAATGCCAGAAAATTCCCCTCTCCATGGCCTAGATTTATAAATCAAGCTGCATTTATGAGAATAAAGGTCCATAACCTCAAAAGGAGAGTGGTTGGGGGTGGCAGAGGGTCCAGTTCTCAAACTTGTCAAGTGTTGTACAAATTCCTAGGGTGGGCAGTCCCAGCTCTGGACCTCTCTTAGGAATGAGGCCCTGAATGGCTCTGAGACCTCCCTCACCTCTCCCTCCTCCAGAGCCCTCTTCTACCGCTACCGTTACCTGACTCAGGACAACTTTGACAACATCTACATAACCAACCGCTTTATGCGTATGGATGCCATCCGGATCCAGGCTGGTCTGCCTTCAGTCTTGCCCCTGAGCCTCAGGGAATGCACCCGATATATCCGGCCAGGTGATTGTGTAACTCTAAAAGACAGAAGTTTCCTGAAGACAGTATTAGGAGGCGTCCGAGGAAGGGTAGGAATGCTAGGACCCTGTGCCATGGAGTTCTGGTTACTATTAGTACTGTCCACATCATTTGTTGGCAGATCTCTGTCTTTAATGTTAGGAAAAGACTCAGATGGAGCAGGACACACAGACTCTACCTTTGGGGAGATTCCAGTTTTATAAGGCCAAACACCCTTTTGACTTCCCATTACCATTGCCTCAAGGACATAGAAGAAGAGAGAGGGAAGGTCCAGTGATTTATCTAGACAAAACTCTACACATCAGAATTGGAGGCATGGAGAGGGATGGGAGGGCCATCAGAGGATAGGTAGTTACTTTGGGAAGGCTTTCTGGAAGAGCTCATGGACCAGTGATGGGAAGGAGGAAGGATATCTAAGAGGGACAGAGGGACTTGGTGGAGAATGAATGGTTCATGTGGGGCTGGGAGATGAGGACCAACTTTGCCCAGCTACAGCAGAGAAGTAGAGCTGGAGATTCTAGAAAGACAAGGCTTGTGCTGGCATGAGTGGGCATCATCACCATCATCACTTAAACTCTCAGTGTCTTTAGCAAGAGTCTAAGACTATAGATTGCAGAGAAGGTGAAGACCAGCATCGGCAGAAGGGATTTTCCACTTCTGAGAGTTCCCTATAGCAATGAAATAGCAGGTCCAGTCCCCAGACATAATCATCACCGTCATCACCAGTGAAATAACTTATTTGGAGCTCTTTGCAAATCTTAAAGTACTATGTAAATGTTTAAATATTATAACAATAGTTCATATTTATATAGCACTTCCATGGCAAGGGGGTGGGATTCTACACATTTGGCAAAAGGGACCCCTTGTGGCTGTGTTGTGGATGTATATTTTTTGGCAAGGCATTCCCTGACCCCCATCTTCACCATTCAGGATGATTTTCTATATTAGAAGACTGAGGCCCAGTTAGGTTGCCAAGCATGACTAAGTATAACAGAGCATTGTTATTGTTGAGTTGTTTCAGTCATATCTGACTCTTCATGAACCCATTTGGAGTTTTCTTGGCAAGGATACTGTAATGGTTTGCCATTTCCTCCTCCAGCTCATTTGACAGATGAGGAAAATGAGGAAAAGAGGGTTAAGGGATTTGCCCGGGGTCACACAGCTAGTGTCTGAGGCCAGATTTGAACTCAGGTCCTCCTGATTCCAGGTCAGATGCTCTATCCACTGTACCACCTAGCTGCCCATGACCAAGTAGGACTCTTATTTCTTGGTGGACAGGGTCATGGTATAGGGTAGAGGTATAGGGGGTCCTATAATGGAAGGGATTGTTATTCACCAGCCTACTTTGTGGGCACCACTTCCATGTAGCACCTCTGGCTGTGCTGAGTCTCTGGTGCCAGTCTTCTTCTCCCCTAGACTCTTCTTCCTTTTCAGGTTCCCTATACCTGTCCCGGATGGAGCGGATGCATTACACCTTGGCGACCTTCACCCTAATCCGACATCTGCTGGTGGTGTTGCTGCTAGTGGTACTGGACTATGCTATCTTCTGGCTGCTGGACCTGGCTCGCTATTGGCTGCAGGGGGAGATCGTGACTCGGAGTGAGAGCTCCCATCCTATCGACCTGCAACTCCTCTGATTGCCCTCCTCTGGACCCTCTGACCCACCCCCTTAACCCTTCTCCAACTCTTACTCTCCATTCCCTTCCTTTAAACTTCCAACCAAGTTTTACCTCTTGTCCTGGATCAAAAGAGTGAGATTTAGAGCTGGAAGGGATGTTACATATCTTCAAGTTTATCTCCACCTTCTCCTATGTAATAGTGGTCATCCCTTCAACCCTCTGGGCTAGTAGGGTTTTTATATGCATTTGACAAAACAGATTCATCAAAGAGAAGTGACTTATTCAATGTCACCAAGGTAGGACTTCAAACCCAGGTTGTCTAACTCCAAATTCAGTTCCCCCTTAATAATAATAGCATTTATATCATGCTTTAAGGTTTGCAAAAGTCCTTGAAAACATCTCATTTGATCCTCACAACAACCCAGGAGGTGGTAGTTATTATTCCCATTTTATAGATGAAAAAATTGAGGCAAACAGAAGTTAAATGGCTTGCCCAGGGTCACACAAATAGCAAGTGTCTGAGACAGGATTTGAATTCAAGCCTTCCTTTTTTGTTTGTTTGTTGTTGGAGGCAGTCAGGGTTAAGTGACTTGCCCAAGGTCACATAGCTAGTAAGTATCTGAGGATGCATTTGAACTTAGGTCCTCCTGACTCCAGGGTGGGTGCTCTATCTACTAAACACAGGTCTTCTTAATTCCAAGTCAAGTCTTGTGCTCTTAACCACCACACCACCCAATTGCCTTTTTCATCTGGTTATTTTGGCCGACATGAGTTGAACATATTCTACTATCTGCCTGCCTTGACCTGGGCATGGTGCTATACCCATTTAGAATGGATTACAGGTGATGGTGCTAAGGCTTTCTGGGCAAAGGGCATGTGTGTGTGTGTGTGTGTGTGTGTGTGTGTGTGTGTATAAAGTGAGAAAGTGAGGCTCTGAGTCTCTTCCTGCCCAGAGGATCTAGGGGCCTCCCTATCCCCAATGGGTACATTTCCTGGCTATAAAAGTGATCCTCTCGAATGAGTGAATCTTATTCTCATCATATTTGGCTTAAGGAGAGAATAACACATAGACTCAATTGGGTATGGAAATCTATCTTACCCTACAGGAAAAGAGGGGGGGAAGGGGACAAGAGAGTAGGAGGATGATAGAGGGGAGGGCAGATTGGGGGAGAGAGTAATCAGAAGCAAACATTTCTAAGGAGGGACAGGGTCAAAAGAGAGAATAGAATAAATAGGGGGCAGAATAGGATTAAGGGAAATATACTTAGTTTTTCACCAAAAAAAAAAAAAAGTGACCCTCTCAAGAAGGGAAAGCTAAGATGAGATGATTTCCTTACCCATCCTATCTCCTATGTTCCCAGACCCTGTGTTGGTGTCAGTTACTGTAGAGGGGACAGGCTACGTGGGACAGATCTACCGTGACCTGGTATCAGTGTTTGACATCCTACAGAAGGGAAATATCACCATCCTATCCCGGCGCTGCCTTCTCCGTACATCAGAACCCAACTACAAAAGCTATATACTCATTGGTAACTATTCAAGGGGCACTGGGAGGGACTTGAAGATCCAGAGGGCACTTAATCAACATTGAAAGGTTTAAAGATTTAAAAAGTGGGCCAAATGACAAAGTGGGTTTGAATTAGTTGAATGTGCAGACCCAAAGAATAGTAGTGAAAGTCAGTGACAACCAGGAGGGAGGTCTCTAGTGGAGTACTCAAGGATCTGTCCCTGGCCTACTGTTTGGTGTTTTTTTCTTTTTCTTTTTTTCTTTTCTTTTTTTTTTTTTTTTTGGTTTTTAGGCAATTGGGGTTAAGTGACTTGCCCAGGGTCACACAGCTAGTAAGTGTCAAGTGTTTGGTCTGAGGCTGGATTTGAACTCAGGTCCTCCTGACCTCAGGGCCGGTACTCTATCCACTGTGCCACCTAGCTGCCCCTTTCTTTTTCTTTTTTAAAAAATTATTGATTTGGATGAAGGCATTAGTAGCATGTTAATAAAATTCATAGATGATACAAAACTGAAGAGGACAGTTGCAAGACAGACACAGCCATCCAAAAAGTTCTCTATTTGCCAAAACAAACTCAGGAACTATATGAACACAATTACGAAACACTTTTCACACAAATAAAGTTAGATCTAAATAATTGGAAAAATATCAGTTGCTCATGGGTAGGCCGAGCAACTGATATAATAATAATGATATAATAAAAAATGAGAATTCTACCTAAATTAATTTACTTATTCAGTGCCATACCAAGCAAACTACCAAAAAAATCTCTACATGTTAGTGTGTAGATGGGAAGATGCAATATAGTGGGGACAAATGTAAAATACTTTACTTGTGTTCAAAAAGTCAATTGCACAAAGATAGGAGAGACATGAATAGACTTAATTTCATGTGAAAGAAAATCAGAAGGTTTTACTGGTATGCAAACTCAAATATGAATCAACAGTGTTGGGGACATAGAAGAGAGAAAAAACACACCAATTTTAGGCTATATTGATAGTGATGTGAAAGGTGATGTATTCTAGTGGGTAGGGCATGCTGGCCTTAAAGTCAAAAAGACTTGGGTTTAAGTCCTGGTTCTGACACATACTCACATGAGCAAATCACTTAACTTTAGAAAAGACAACACCTGTCCTCCCTACTTTACCCAGATGTCACAGGGCTCAAATGAGATAATTAATGTGAAATGCTTTATAGTGATAAAGTGTTCTATGGGATACTAGGGCAGCTAAGTGGTGCAGTGGACAGATATTAGGCCTGGAGTTAGGAAGACCTGCGTTCAAGTCCTGACTCAGACACATACTGTGTGACCTTCCCCGCCCCCTCTCCCCCAGTCACTAAACTAGAGTCTGGCCCCAAAAAGATAGTAAATGTTAGTTACTGTTATGATTATCAAGGATATGAGGTTGATGGGAGGGAAGAAGTTCTAGAAAATGGAACCTGTTTTGGGAGTCATAGCCTTGGGAACTAGGGTCTCTCAACCTGTCCTCATCAGGCCCTGTGCAGTTCTGGGAGGATGTAGGGCAGACCCGATGTGGGTCTGGTATTCTTCCTCAGGTAACACCCACCTTGTCCACAGGCCTCATGTACGGCCTGTGTTTCTTTGTTACCCTCTTTGGCTCTTACGTTGGACGGATGAGTCGGGTCATCTGTGCTTCCTACTACCCATCCCGGGAGCAGGTGAAAGGCCTACAGTCCCAGTGGAAGGGGTGGAAGGAGGGTGGCTGTTTTATTCCAAGCAGAGGTTTACTGGTCAGTAGTTGGGAGTTTGGGAAGTTTGGGAAAGTCCTTGCTTTCATTTTCTGAGCATCCATGGTTCCATGATTCTCTGTAGACTCCCCTGGGGCAAACACAGAAAGAAGCCTCTCAGGGCAGTGCTTCACAGGATTATAATGTCCCTGGATTGGGGATACCTTGAGTGGGGGCTTCCACATAATCATTCAGTTTTACAGCTGTAATGCCAGGTTTGGCAATCCTTTTTGCATCCCCTCCCTCCCAACTGCCTTTGCCTAACCGTAAGCAAGGGAAACTCTTCCTTTTTGACTTGGGTAGAAATCTGTCCACTGTTGGACCTCAAAGCAGTGAGCACTCCCCCTAACATCCCATCTAGGAACGGATCTCTTTCCTGTACAACAATCTGCTGACCCGCCGATCCAACGTGGCCACTTCTCTGGTTGGTGCTGTGAGGCGTCGGGCAGCAGACCAGGGCCACACCAACATTCTCCTTGTGCTTGCTGCCAAGTGAGTTTTCTTCCTCCCCTTTCCCCCTGAAGGGAAAATCCAACAGCAGATGATCTAGGGGTCAGAGTGGAAATTTGCCCCTAAGTTGAATGTGCAAAATACTTGTGCAAAGTGAGAGGTACTTCAGGATTTATGAGTATCCACTCTGAAGAAGGATTCTCTGGCAGGATAGAAGGGGGGAATGGGACCAAAGAAAGAGGAATAACTGGTTGGTTAAATGGGGGGTTAGACTGTAGGAAGGCCTTCCTAATAGGTCAAAAGGGCAAAAGTAATTGGATAAAAAAGGACAGGTCCCCATCATCCATAGAGCTTTAGGGTGGGTTAGGGGAGAGGATGACCCATGTAGAGGATGTACACAAAACCCTCCTACAGGTGGCCCCGCCTGGTACCACTGATCAATCTCCTGGGAATCCATCAGACCTACTGCCTGGGCTGTGGTAGGCCTCAGAATGAACATGAGATGCAAGACTTTGTGCCCTGCAGCACCCCAGGTTGCAGAGGTAGGCCTCCAGGGAATCACCAGAGTCTTGCTCTGGAGGTGCCAACATGGCACCATGGAAAGAGTTCTGGATTTGTCATCTGAAAGGTTAGGTTCCAATCCCATTTATGGCACTCTGAAACCAAGGGAATCACTCAGCTTCCCTACCCTCAGTTTCCTTTCTCTGTAAATGAAGGGTGTGGACTGACTGGCTTCTAAGGTCCTTTCCAATTTTAAATCTATAATTCTATTTCATTTGCATAGACACAATCAATTGTGGTCCGTAATTTTGCATAGGTTTTACATTTGGATCTAATGTTATCGCTATGCATGAACTCGTTTGCATATGGGCATGGTGATTTACATATGCATTTTGTGATTTGCATAAGGCAGACACAAATTTGCGAGTTTTGGCCTAATTTGCATTGCACCCTTTCTGCAACTTGCATATAGTTCTATTATTGCATGGCATTCTATCATTTGCAGCCCAGTGAGGTGGTGGAGGCCAGGAAGAGCTCCAGGAAAGTTGAGGTGGGGGGAGAGGAGAGAAGAGAGGGGTAGCCAGGCCAAGTATTCCTGAGTCACTACTCCCTGGGCTCCACCGCCTAGGCCTCTTCTGCAGGACCTGCTTCAGACTCCTGAATAACACGTGCTCAGTGTGTGCAGCGCCCCTGACTCCCCAGGGAGACCTGGATCTAGAGTTGTGAGTTCTCAAGGACATAGCTAGCCATGGGGTTGGTTGCAAAAGGGAGGAAACCAGGATGTAAAAGGTAGGGGTGGTGGAGGGAATTCACTTGTTTAGGAAGATTCGGCAACAACCTCCAAGTCCCTAAATTCTGAGGTTTCCTCCAGGGACTCCAGTGATGATGAGCACCCCCGCCTGTGGCTGGCTTCAACCAAAAGACTGAGCAAGGAGAAGCAAAGGTGGCTTAAGAAAAAGCTGAAGGCAGTCCTGGGGAAGGCCAGGTTCAAGAAGCTATCCCTTCTCTATAATCTAGATCGAACCTGTAGCTCAAGGTGAGAGCAGAGGGATGCCAGGAAGAGTAATGGGGGAAGAGGGCCTGCCCTCACCCCAGACCCCACACATTTTCTCTTCTTCCCAGCAATGAAACAGATTCTGACTGTAACAAGCAGCAGGAGAATGAGGATGGGGTCAGTGGTGAGGAAGCTGAAGACAAGGACGAGAATGAAGATGAACCCAATTCTTTCCCACAGCCTACCTCCACTCAATCTCCCATCTGTATCACCATCCCCCCTCCTCCCCCCCTCCCCCAGAAATAGCTACTGCCTCCTCTGGTTTCAACCCCATCCAACCCTACCCTTCCTTCTGTCGGTCTCCCGATTTCCAGATTCCCATCCCCACCCATAATTAAAGAAGGAAAGAGAGGCCAACACAATTGCGAATCTTAAATTATTATTATTTTCTTTCTGTTGCTTACACCCGAGGGGAGGGAAAGGGAATGGGGCAGGAGAGGAGGAACTGCCCCCCCCAACCCTAAGGCACTGACTGGAAAAGCCAAGGGAATGGGGAGGGGAGGCCAAGGTGTCCTCAGTCTCCCTCCCCCAGCCCTGGGCCCCCCACCACCTGAAATGCTAAGATGGGGCCCGGGGCACCCAACCCCCCCAATATATTACATCATCACGCCTTAAATAGATAAAGGGACTGGTCCCGCTACCCCCTCCCCTGACCCCCCTAGCCCAGGGGGAGAGGCCTGAGCAGCTGTGCAAATGGGCATGGGGCATAGTGGGAGGGGGAAGGAAGGGAAGACAGCACCGGCCCCTGAACCTGCCCCCCCAGGGAGGGGGAGGGGCCACTAGGCCAGGGAGGGGGAATAGTGCAAGGCAGAATTGGGGTGGGGGAGGGAGGGCTCCCCCCTTACCAGCCCAATCAGCAGAGCCCAGGCCACAGTGGGGGTCCAGCACCCAGCGAGGAAGAGGGCTGGAGAGAGCCCCCAGCACCCTCCCGTCACCCCAGGAAATCAAGAGGGAATTAAAATTTTCAAACTAGATTTCAACAAGACCAACAGAAGATGCTATGTACAGAAGGATGGGTGGATTGGATCCTAAGGGGGGCGGGGGTGGGCGGGAAGAGACTCCCTACCCAACACAGGAGAGGCCCCCAAGGAATGCGGCAGAAAAGGGACAAGTTATTTGTGCAGCCCCTCCAGGGATCTGCAGCACATTCAAGCTATTACCCCGCCGCCGCGAGGGGGCGCTCGCTCACAGGCAGCGGTGGTTGGGGATGGTGGAATCTACTCGCCCAAAGCAGCCGCGAGGGGCGCTCGCGCTCGCTCAGCAGCCGGCCGCCAGGTGGCGACCGCAAGCCCACTCTCAGCAAGTCTCGTCCTCACCGCCCCCCCCACCCCCCAGCCCGAGCGGCAGCGACGGCAGCAGCTGCAGCGCCAGCCCGGGGGCGGCGTGAGTCAGGGGCGCGGCGGCGGCTGCACAAGCGGCGGCGGCGGCGGCGGCGGCGGCAGCTCGCACCTGGGCGGGGAGGGGAGAGAGCCGGGGAAGGGAGGGCAGGGTTAGGATGGGACGAAGCCTGGCCCGCCCAGCCCTCTGGCCCCGGGCGGGGAGCGGCGGGAACAAGACATTCCCTGCCTGGGGACGCGGGAGGGGAGGGGAGCGGGTGGGGTTCCTCCTGCTGCCCCCGGGGGCGGGCGAGAGGATCTGGGCACCCCGCCCCCTGCTTGCTCCTCGGACCCCGTGACTCAGCGCTGGGAACTGGGCGGAGGGACGGTGGGGGAGCCGCCTTCCCTTCTGCCCCAGTTTCCCACTGGTGCCCCCCCCCCCCAGTCCTTCCTTCCCTGCAATCTCCCACTCAACCCCCCCGCTTCCATAGTCTATTCCTTACCGCGATTCACTCCCCCCCCCAAACCTTTGCATAATCCACTGCCAGGAAAAGGGGAACAGAAACCAGGAAGGAGGGGTCGGGAAAGGAGGGGCAGCTTCCCCCACCCCATACACACAGCCCTACCCCTAGGGTG